GTCAAAGCATTATGTTCAAAAGTAAGAAAATATATGGGAAAGGGAAAAAAAATAAACCAACACTTTGAGATACCAGAAAAATAAAATACATTAGGTTACTCAGGGAGTCACCACCTTCTTCTTATCTTCCTCATTATCACTATCAGGGCTCACGTTTACTGAAGGCTGCCATAGTCCACACTCTGAATTGAGTGTATTATGTTCACGTTCTTAAAGTCTTCAAACGATGCTGTGAGGTACCAAAAACCAAATCAAACTCACTGCTATTGTGTTGAATCTGACTCATAGCAACCCCTCCTTGGGTTTCTCAGGCGGTATCACTACAGAAAGTAGATTGCCCAACCTTCCTTCCAAGGAGTGGCTGGTGGGTTTGAACTGCAGTCAAATACCTAGGCACTATGCCACCAGAGCTTCCTGGCTGTGACGTAGGCACTATAATTATCTTAATCTTATCAATAACGAAACCAAGGCAAATGACTTGGCTAGTGGATGGTTGTCAAGACTGGAACTTAGACAGACTGACCTGAGGCCCAGGCTCATAACTATTAAAGTCTCTTAAACTCCATTATACTACAGCATAATTTTACACTGTAGCTTGATAGTTACCACAGAACACAACAGCACACACCTCTCTGAGAGACGCCTCATGCTTTTCTTGAGTCTCAAAATAGGATAATAAAATATTATAGATGAAAATGACAAAGAATCACATTTCCCAAAATTTCTGTATGCAAATTTGCAACAATAGCTTTTCATTAATATAAGCTTTGCATTTGAAAGAGAATTTAACTTTGATGTTTAACAGACAAATTACATTAAGATATTAAATCTGTAAGTTATTGTTAAAAAATACTTTACTTATTTTAAGCAAAGAAAACTTTCTAGTCTTTGATATATGTTCTTAAAAACATGAAAATAAAATTCCTTTCCTCAACTGTCCTCTTTCATTTCACACATATTGATCTTACCATATGTTTTAAATAATGATGAAATTAATAGGAACTGTTTTTAATAAATCCAAATCATAGCTCCTTTCATGTCAAAATATTTTGGGGAAGACTGACACGGAAAAGCATCTTAAGCATTAGGAAAGGCTAAGAACATCCAGTACTGGCTTTAGATGGGAGGTGGAAAGATGGTGAGGAACTGAGACAGCAACCACAGAAAGACTGTAGGTTGGGAGTAAGGGTCCTCCTCAAATAAGGAGGGTTCTAAAGCAGGGTGGGACTGAGGCCAGAACCCAGGTGAAATAAAACAGAAGGGAGGAATAAACCAAGAACTGTTTGACAGCTGTGTTAGCTCTGAACCAGTGGAAAAAACATACACTGTGGAAGAGGCTAGATCTGGAAATGGGCACAAGCTCTTGATATTTCTTTGATTTTATTAGTTATATATAAAATAGGTAGTGATATTTACCTAATCAAGTTGAAGATGAAACAATGACAACATCATGCAATCTTGAAAGTATTTATGATCTTAGCTTTAATCCCAGTAAAATTTTAGAATTTAAAAATCCCAGTTTTTAAAAATTTCATTGTCAAGGAAAAACAGAGCATTTTTCCAACTACATTAATAAACCATAAACCCACACTGTATATGTACTGTGTCAAATGCTACTGGATAAGGTCACTGTTTTAACTATTAAATTATTAAGTTATTATGATAGCTAAAAGTGGTTAAAACAATGTTAAAAAACAGTTGGTTTGGAATGCACTACATTTTGAATTGTTTGCTATATAAATCTTTTTTAAAAGACAAAAAATGACTTACATTTTTACATAAGTTTGCTATATTGGACAAAATGATATTATATACTATAATTATGTCATAGAATAGAGTATAATTTTTGAAATATCTATTTTACAAATAGTTTTTTAAATAAATAAAAGTCTTCAATTACTACAAGCATCCTTAGGTTTAGAAAACAATTTTTACCATCTTATTTCAAATGCAACATTTGATTGGTCACTACTGACATAATTTTGATACACTCAGAATTTAGGAAAGCATTTTGTAGAACCACACCATGATAGTATTCAGTCTTGCAGGAGTTTTAAAGCTCAGTGATGGTGGTACATGAGCAACATGGTTAAGAATCATACAGACAAGCTCGCCACCCAGAGGCAAAAGTTGGAAACCAACTCTGGATTTTTTGTAAGACAATACTGATAAATTTAAATATACATATATACATATAATTTGTCTCATTCAAAATAAAAATATATAGAAAATTCTTTATAAGGTTCTCTGCAGAAACGAATCCTTTTAATGGCAGACTACATAAAAGCATGGCTCTTCGAGAATTCTTTCATGAAACAGAAACAAGTCATGAGATAGCAGTAGTCACAGGTGCAGTTCACCAATTAAAAAAAAACTTAATTTAATTGTATTCTCTACATTTAATGCTTTCTTTTCTCATTATAATTAATATAACATGTGTTTCCAGCAGTATGTGTAAGTTCTGGAACAAGTACCATGATCTATTTAGACCTGTGGACCAAAACTTAAACTAATTACCAGAGACATTTCTTACTTAAATGGGAAAAGTTTATTGCATTGGTAGTAGGTCTTACATATAATTTTCTTCGGTCAAAGGAATAAAATTTAGTTAGAGTAATTCTATTTGGCATACAGTCAGGTTTTACAAAATATATACCAGTAATTATCAAGGTTAAAGCAAATAGTCAATTCTTTCAAACACACATAAAAATTCAAGCTTCTAAACAATAGGCTGATTACTAAATAGAGATTCATGATATGCCCATTTTATCTTAGAGCTCTAGATATAGGAATTACTGCTAGCACTGGAACATCATTTAAGATTTATGTCTTTTAAGAAAAACTACAAAACATCATTGAAACTTCACTTAATTAAAAACATGGCATATATTAAAATGTGAATACATATTCTAAGCATTAAATTTGAAAACTGCTTTTTCTACATTAAAATCATATTTTTTTGAAATTATCTTTTGCGTTCTAAAATGTTATAATATATTCTCATTACATCTCATTTTCACTCTAACATACTTTAAAATAGAAAGATGATTGTAAAGTCAAACCAATTTTTATGACATTCTAGAAAATTCATTCCAAGGAATACTAAATGTTTACTACTGACTTTAATTTTATTTTTATCAAAGGGGAAGATTCTACAACTGATTAATTCCAAGTTATTTTTTTTCTCCCAGCAGAATCTTAGCAAAATACTGCTTTAAGGTAGAGCACTGTTAACTAAGCCTTCCTTTCTGGTTCTGTCACTAAGGGATCTCATTATCTGTGATAGTTAATTCTCCTCCCAATTTATACCCCTCAATCTTCTACACACCACAAGTTGCATCATTCTGCAAAAGATACTTTCATCTGTAATGACGGGTGCAAAATTTCTTAGCACGGAGTACAAACAATGCTATCTTCTCATCTTTACTTCTACATTTATTTAGGAAATAAATGAGATTATCAGTTTTAGTCCAGTCTGCTACATAGATGTCCTCTATACACATGGATAAAACTGGGACAAATAAAGGCAAAGATAACTCACTAAGACAGGACAGTTAATACTTCAGATAAAAGCTCAATGATTAAAGCTCAAAATGTTTACCAAAAGATGTACTGTAACAATTGTAAATAGGGCCCAAAGGCTGAGATTAGTCAAGTGTATTCTGAAGCAACAAAGAAAAGCTGGCTAACCAGGGGCTTCATCCTCTTCTTACATGTACTGTAAGGGGATCAAAAGGTCTATGTGTCTGTACCATATATGCAAAGAATAAAAGAAATGGAAAAAGGCCAACTACTTGATAGGTCATGAATGATTCAAGTTCACTGATACCAAAACCAAACCAAACTCACTGCCACTGAGTCAATTCTGACTCACAGCAACCCCCATTGGGTTTCCAAGGCTATAAATCTTTACAAAAGTAGATTGTTTCATCTTCCTCACATGGAGCAGCTGGTTAGTTTGAACCACTGACCTTCTGATTAGCAGCTAAATGTCTTACCCATTATACCATCAGAGCTCCTTAAGTTCATAGATAAGTACCCACAATTTAAAGAGCAAATTATGAAACACTCCCATACCTCTAATTTGTCAAGAAGATCTACTGATAAAAGTAAATATTTTAGTATTTCTTGACTCTTCTCTATCCCTTTCTTCCCTTTCATCTGTTAAATCCATATTAGCTTAACCAAATCCTAATTATCTCTGTGTCTCCAAGTCCAACCTCCTACTCTATCCTACCACAGCCACATTATCAAATCCATCCAGAATCAGAATAATTTCTGCGAGGTGCTAATCAATCACATCATTCTCCTGCTTGACACTCAAACCTCAAGTTGAGTCCAAGTGTCCTTGTTCTGCAATCTTGTTCCCCAGAAACCTGCTAACCAGCTAGCAAGGGTCTTCTCAAAGGGGGAACCAAGGTCAGAGAATGGCCACATTCCACCCAACACGTAGAGTTTTTAGGGAAAAGGCTGCAGCTAGTGGTTTCTTTATTCTTCCTTTCCAAGTTAACCACCAATCAAAGGTCTTTGGAAAAAATTTAAATAACCCCTCATCAATGTATGTCAGGATCTCCAATTTATGAGTGAAGTCTTCCAAAAACATCTTAACTCCTCAAATAACACTTTTCAAACATTTTTAACTAACTGGAAACCTTTTCTTTGAGGAACATCTAATGCAGAAGAACCCCAAAATAAGTCCTTGGAAACACTGTTTTTGAGGCTGATACATCGGCAGAGGTTAGATCATGTAAAACTGTATATGCCATGGAATAAAATACAGATTCAGTAAGGTTCAATTCAAAATCAGTGGGGATATCAAGCGAGGATGTGACAAAACCTAACTTACATTTTTGAAAGACAATTCTGTTGTGTGTGCAAAAAGAGTTGAAGATACTGAGAACTTCAACATTTCTGATGTATTTTCATCAACTCTAATACCTCTAAAGAGTGATATGCACTTTCTAATTACTGGTAATCACTATATAGAAGTCATAGAATACCTGATCCTTGCTGGTCAATCCAAGGTGCATCACCAAGTAAAAATGTACCAAGAAATCTGAATTTGGCAGAACATCCTGACGTCTGGTCATCATGGCACAGATCAGTCTGTAGGCTTGCAGTTTGCCTTCCTTGTATTCATTTGGTAATGTCGTTGCCTGCCAAGAAGATGAGGTTTAAAGATTAAATCAATTCCAGATGCAAAGCATTTCAACACTCCATTTACTTCTTGGTTTTCCATAAGAGTTGTTTATAGAAATGTGGGATGCAGTAGCTTTAGCATGACCCAGCCTGTCTTTGAAACATGCAGTCTTGGGCAATTATGAAATTTTAAACTCAATTTCAGAAAGGAAGAGGAAATTACAATAAATGAATAAACACACATCTACTTGCCTTAAATAGCCATGATGCAAAGATTCTGAGTGGTGGGATCAAGACTGGAGGAGATGGAGAAGACTGGTTATCCAGGCTTACTGCTAGATTATCCCGTATCTAATATACAAAGAGCAGAAATTTAGGGAGGGTACCATTCACTTTATCCCAAGGCTATTTGAATATCATCTTCTATAGCCCAATAGCTGCTTGCATTTAAATTTCTTTAAGTTGCAGAAAAAGCTACAACACCCACAAGTTTTTCTTTCATTGTAAGATCTACTATCCTTGTAAATTGTGTGTCTGGTTTACAAAATGTTTTTATATTTAAATACGAAACTATAGCATTGTTTTTTCTTGAATGTTAATGCCAAGAGATGTCCTGAACTCCAAAAAATAAGGAATGGTTTAACAAATTACACTGTGCAACCATTAATCACATTTTGGAAAAAAAATTAATAACATGCAACAGTGTACCCTAGAAACAAAAAACAGAATGAAAATAACACTCAGATTCTGCTTTTGTAAAGATGTATTTATCCACAGAAGTAAGACTATTGATTATTATCAGTTATGTCTGTGGAATGGTTGTGCTAATATTTTTCTTTGTATCTTTCCTCATTTTTCAATTTTTTTTTACAAAATAATACTTCTTTTAGGCACCTTGGAAGAAAAACCTGGTGATCTATTTCTGAAAAATCAGCCACTGAAAACCCTCTAGAGCAGTTTTACTCTGACACACATGGGGTCACCTACTTAATACTGTATATATATATATTTTTTAATATCTGATAATATTCAAAGGAGCTCTAGTAGCATAGTGCCTAAGGCACCTGACTGCTAACCAGAAGGCTGGCGGTTCAAACCCACCAGTCACTCCTCGAAAGGAAGGTTGGGCAATCTACTTCTGTAGTGATACTGCCTTGGAAACCCAAGGAGGGGTCACTATGAGTCGGGTCTGACTTCATGGCACATAACAACGACAGCAACAATGATATTCAAAGAGTCCTCGTGGCGCAGTGGTTAAGAGCGCTCAGCTGCTAACTGAAAGGTCAGCTGTTTGAACCACCAGCTGCTCTGCCTGACAAAGCTGTGGCAGTCTGCTTCTGAAAAGATTACAGCCTTGGAAACCCTAAGGGAAGTTCTACTCTGTCCTACAGGGTTGCTATTAAGTCAGAATCAACTCAATGGTAATATATTATAGTTGTTGTTAGTTGTTATGTGCTGTCAAGTCAGATCCAACTCATAGTGACCGACCCCTCCTTGGATTTCTGAGGCAGTATCACTACAGAAGTAGATTGCCCCATCTTCCGAGGAGTGGCCAGTGGGTTTGAACCACTGGCCTTCTGGTTAGCAGTGAAGTGCCTTAAGCACTATGCTACCAGAGCTCGAATATATTATAGTAATATTATACTTATAGGCTAAAGGAAATAATTCTTTTGCATTTATAAAATGGCCACTATAAATGCTATTAATTTGTTGATATTCAAGCATAAAAAAAACAAAGATAAAAACAAAACTTATTGTAGTGAATTTGATTCCAAGTCACAGCGACCCCATGTTGCCACAGGAAAATTGCTCCATAGGGTTTTTTTTGGCTGTAATATTAACAAAAGCAGATTACCAGGCCTTTCTTTATTCCATGGCACTGCTAGGTGGCTTTGACCCACCAACTTTTAGGTTAGTAGTCAAGTGCAAACCATTTGTACCACCTAGGGACCTTTTTGTCTAACATATAATATGTTCAATAGTTAATTGCAACAGTTTTTACATTAAAGGATAGATTTTCCTGTACTAGAATAAAAGGTAAGGTAACAGGACATACCTTTGCTAGTTTGTACCAGAGTTCATAGAGATAGCCAAAAACCTTGGCATGGATCTTGGGTGACTGGATATTATTCACATCCCCAAGGATTCCCAAGACTCTTCGCCATAGCACAGCGGCAGAGTCTGGGTGCCAGCCAGTGAGGTTCCCTCCAGCAATGATACTACAGTCATCAGTGAGGCATTCACTGCTATCTATGGAGACAAATGTTTATTAGCCGTAGAAACACAATCTATTTCATTAGCACAATTTTTTTCTTTAATAAAAATTAATTATGTTAAAAATTCATATATTCAAAGTAAAATATTTAAAATGAAAAATGTGAAATGTCTGAGAACTTGTAAACACAGAAAAGCAAGATCAGTGGGAAAGGTCAAATGATCTTGCTTCTTCAAACCAAAAGGGTAACAACTTAGAGATGACAAAATAGTTCCTGGAGACCCTATGGAGGGTTTCATAAAGGAAAGATGGGAAATAGGGAGAACCCTAGCAGGGTGGGAATGGGACAGTACCATGAAAAACAGTTGGTCTGGGAAGGCCTCATGGCTAGAGTGACATTTGTAGATATTGTTGTTGTAAAACCAAACCTAACCAGTTACTGTTGAAAAGATGCCTACTCACAGAGATCTTATAGGACAGAGTAGAACTGCTCCATGAGGTTTCCAAGGCTGTAATCTTTATTTATAGGAGGAAACTGACACATCTCTCCTGCACAGCAGCTGGTGAGTTAGAAGCCAAGTGTTTAACCACTGCAACACCAGGGATCCTTTTGTTGTTGTAACATCAGGTTATTTTTTTTATTAGCTGTCATTGCATTGACTCTCACTCATGCAATCTCACGTACAATAGAACAAAACATTTCCTGGTTCTGTGTCATTCTCACAATCACTGGCATGTTTGAGTCCATCTTGTGCCTCCTTGAGTGCCACTCTATCTCACCAAAGGTGTCCATCACCATTGTTAGTCCTCCACTTCACCAAGCATGATACGCTCCTTCAGGAACTGATCCCTTCTGATGACATGTCCAAAGCAAGCAAGTCAGATAATGCTCTCTTGTGATCCATAAGGTTTCCACTGGCTTATTTTTGGAAGTAGGTCATGAGGTCTTTCTTCCTAGTCTGTTTTAGTCTAGAAGCTTTCCTGAAATCTGTCCACCAGGGGTGACCTGGCTAATATTTAAAATACCATGGGATAGCATCCATCATCACAGCAACATGCAAGGCACCACACTGACAAACTGATAGACAAGTGGTGGTAAGTCAGCTTTATTAGGGTATAATGTGCAGATAATAAATTTCCATCCTTTTTAAGAAATGTATACTGCCATGTAACTGCCATCATAATTGAAATGTGCAATATTTCATCATTCCCCAAAATGCCCCTTTATAGTTATTCTTCTTCTGTTATTCTCAGCCTCTGGGAACCACTGCTTTTTCTGTCCCCACAGTTTTGTCTTTCCCAGAATGACTTATCAATGCAATCCTACCATAGGTAACCCTTTCTGTCAGGCTTCTTTCACTTATGATCATGCATTTCAGATTCACCTATGTTGCTATGGATATCAGTAGTCTGTTTCTCCTATTACTGATTAATATTCTGTTATATAGACATACCAGTTTGTTTTTCCCATTCACTTGCTGAAGGAAATTTGGATTGCTTCCTGTTTTGGGCAATTATGAATAAAGCTGCTCTAAACATGCATGTAAAAGTTTTTGTGTGAACATATGTTAACATTTCTCTTTGATAATTACCAATAAGTAGGATTCCTGGATATGCAAGTTACTTAAGTATATATAACTTCTTAAGAAACTGTCAAACTGTTTTCCAAAATGACTGTACCAGTTTGTATTCCTACCAGCAAAATGTAAATTCCAGTTGTTCCATATCCTCATTAGGACTTGGTACTGTCAGTTTTTTAAATTTTAACCATTCCATGATTGGGCAACACAGTACAAATTTCAGATGTCAATACTATCCAAAGCAATCTATAGCTTCAATGCAATCTCAATAAAAATTTCAACAACCTTCTTTACCAAAAGGGAAAATCCAATCTCCAATTTTATATGGGAAGGCAAGAGGCACAAAACAGTCAAAGTAATTTTGAAAAGAACAAAGTAGGAGGACTCACACTTTCTGATTTCAAGATTACAACAATCAAAACAGGCTGATACTAGTATAACAATAGATGCATAGACTAATGGCATAGAATTGAGAGTCCAGAAATAAACCCATACATCTATTGTCAGCTGATTTTCAGCAAGAGTGCTAAGTCCAATCAATGGGGAAGGAAGAGTCTCTTTAATAACTGTTGCTAGGAAAATTAGATTTTCCCAGGCAGAAGAATGCAGTAGGACCCATACTTCGTACCATACACAAAATCCAATTCAAAACAGATCAAGGACCTAACTGTTGTTGTTGTTAGGTGCTGTCGAGTCATTTCCAACTCATAGTGACCCCATGCACAGCAGAATGAACACCGCCCAATCCTGCGCCAACTCCGCGATCCTTGCTCTACTTGAGCCCATTGTCGGAGCCACCATGTCAATCCATATCATTGAAGGCCATCCCCTCCTTCGTTGGCCTTCCACCTTACCAAGCATGACATCCTTCTCCAGGGAATGGTCCCCTCTGACAACATGACCAAAGTAGGTGAGACGTGGTCTGGCCATCCTCTCTTCCAAGGACGATCTCGGCTGCACTTCCTCCAGGACAGATCTGTTAGTTCTTCTGGCAGTCCATGGTACCTTCAGCATTCTTCGCCAGCACCACAACTCAAAAGCATCAACTCTTCTTCAGTCTTCCTTGTTCACTGTCCAGCTCTCACATGCATACGAGGAGATTGGAAATATCATGGTTTGTGTCAGGCGCACCTTAGTCCTCAAGGAGACATCCTTGCTCCTCAGCATTTGAAACAGTTTCTTCGCAGCCAATCTGCCCAGTGCTACACGTTGTTTAATGTCCTCACTGCAGCTTCCATTGGCGTTGATTGTAGAACCAAGCAATGTGAATTCTTTGACAACCTCAATCTTTTCTCCATTTATCATGATACTGCTTATTGGTCCAGTTGTGAGGATTTTTGTCTTCTTTATATTGAGATGTAATCCATACTGCAGACTGTGTTCCTTAATCTTCTTCAGTAAGTGATGCAATCCTCACTTTCAGCAAGCAAAGTTGTATCATTAGCATATCTCAGGTTGTTAAAGATTCTTCCTCCAATCTGGATGCCATGTTTTTCTTCATATAGTCCAGCTTTTAGGATTATTTGCTCACCATATAGATTGAATAAGTATGGGGAAAGGATACAACCCTGACGCACTCCTTTCCTGATTTTAAACCATGCAATGTCCCCTTGTTCTGTTGGAACGACAGCCTCCTGGTCAAGGTACAGTTTCCTCATGAGTACAATCAAGTGTTTGGGAATTCCCATTCTTCTCAATGTTATCCATAATTTGTCATGATCCACACAATCAAATGCCTT